ACCCTACCCCCGGGGTTATGATTTGAAGAAACTTAAATCTACACCTCCTGCAGATGCTTCCATATAAATATGAATAATCATGACTTTGCTGTTCTTGAGAAGAACAATTTTTAAGATTTTTCCTATATATTCCTATGTTAAACTTTGATCGTCCACTGTGGCCCCACTCTACCCCCGGGGGTCATGATTTGAACAAACTTGAATCTACGGTACCTGATAATGATTCCATATGCGTTTCATTTTTCCTGGCCCATTTGTTCCTGAGAAGAAGATTTTTCAATGATGCCATTCATTTTTTGCTATTTCGTAATTATCTCCCCCTTGAAAGAGGGCGTGGCCCTTCATTTGAACAACTTGAATTCCCTTCACCCAAGGATACCCTGTGCCAAGATTTGTTGAAATTGGCCCAGTAGTTCTGGAGAAGAAGATGAAAATGTGAAAAGTTTACAACGACAACGCCAACGACGACGACGACAACAGACAAATTTTGATTTGAAAAGCGCACTTGAGCCTTCGGCTCAAATGAGCTAAAAAACTGGGTTAAGTTGATTTTATCATAAAATTTTATAATACTATCTTCCATTTTATCCCCTTGCCTATTTTTCTGCTTTACTTTTCCAGTTCACAAAAGTGTTCATTTGTCCTTTTTACACTCCTATTTTCTTCATATATAAGGTTTTCTTATCTTTTTTTATTCGTTTCTATTGGCTAAATACAAGCAGTCTTCTCTGTCTCTGTTTCTCAGTGGTGACTTGGGCATCCTTTTGTTTAAGCTCCTCCGTTTTCAGTGGAAACATTTTTCTCCCTTAAATCTCCGACGTCGGGGACGAGGCACACTCATGAAATTGACACACCTTAAAACATTTGTCATATTTACTGTTTACGACTAAAACAATTTTACTTAGTATGTTTATTCTTTGTTCACCGATTAGGATTTCTATTCTTGAAAAACACATATAATACTATATAGTATAAATAGAGGATATTCAATGTTTTGTAGTTGGATATGGAATTTATTTCACGAGTGGGACAGCCAGGATTTTTGTTATTTTCACGAGTGCGAAGCACGAGTGAAAATATCAAAAAATCCTGTCTCACGAGTGAAATAAATTCCATGTCCAACTACAAAACATTGAATTTTCTGTTTATTACATTTTTTTTGATTTTCCCTTTGCCTCTGTCTTTTCTAATACATGTACAGTATTGTCAATTAACAATGGTTATTTCCATTTTTATGTCAATACGATATATCCCGGTGAGCTTGAGATAAAAGATACCACAGAGTCTGACACATCTGTTTCATATTTGGATATTTTACTTGAAAAAGACGTTAATGGTAATAGTACAACCAAGCTGTATGATAAATGCGATGACTTCAACTTTTCAATCGTCAACTTCCCTTACTTATGCAGCAATATACCTTCATCACCTGCATACGGGGTTCATATCTCAGTTGATTCGATATGCAAGAGCATGCACTACGTATGTAAAATTTCTAAAACGAGGTAAATTATTGACAAACAAGTTGATGAAACAAGAATATCAGCAGTCTCGTTTAAAGTAATCATTTCGTAAGTTCTATGGTCGATACAATGACCTTGTCAGCAAATACAATTTACCATTGAGTCAAATGCTGACTGACGTATTTCAAACTAATTGTTAGGCCATTATTTACACACGGAATTGTAGACGGATTTTTCCGTTATTTCCCGATCATGACAAGGAGCACACGGCGGGTGTGACCGGTCGGCAGGGGATGCTCACTCCTCCATGGCACCTGATCCCACCTCTGATGTTTTGGAGGTCCATGTTTGCTCTGCTCCTATTTTCTAATGTTTTATGGACTTTTGAGCTTGAATACTGTTCGTTATCTCCATATATTTCATGCAGATATAATTGAATATTTTGTTCTTATTACAGCATCCGGAACTTCTCAGAAATGGACTCAATAAGATCTCCACAGATGTAAGTCTGACAGTTATATAATATAATTTATAAATGCCTACACTATCTGCATGATTTGCTTTTTTTGACAATTTTTAACTAGACATACACAGCGGTATAAAACAATCCAAAGAAAGTTTCTAAAGAAAGTTTGTGTGAATTGTTGTTACCCTGGTCCGTCCGTCTGTCACAATTTCTTCTTCCTTAAACCCTTAACTCCTCTTGAATTTTAAACAGTAGCCAATTAATCTTTTGCAATTTGATAGATGGTGTCCTGAAGATGCGCAAAAAGGTTTTGCAATTTTCAGTTTTACCCTAGAGGATAACTGGGGTCAAACAATTATGTTTTTTCTACAAAAGAAAGTTCTGTGAATTGTTGTTACCCTGGTCCATCCGTCTGTCACAATTTCTTTTTCCTTAAACCCTTAACTCCTCTTGAATTTTAAACAGTAGCCAATTAATCTTTTGCAATATGATAGATGGTGTCCTAAAGATGTGCAAAAAGGTTTTGCAATTTTCAGTTTTACCCTAGAGGATAACGGGGGTAAAAAAAATTATGTTTTTTCTACAAAAGAAAGTTCGTGTGAATTGTTGTTACCCTGATCCGTCCGTCTGTCACAATTTCTTCTTCCTTAAATCCTGAACTCTTCTTGCATTTTAAGCAGTAGCCAAATCATCTTCTGAAAGATGATTAGTGGTGTCCTGTAGATGTGCAATAAGGTTTCGGAAATTTCATTTTCACCCTCGTAATCAAAAGGGGGTAGGAAATGCCGCTTTTCTAAATAAACCTGGTTCCCAGAACTCCACTTACATTTTATGCAGTAGCTAGATCAACTTTTGGAAGATGAACGTTGGTGTCATGTAGATGTGCAATAAAGTTTTTGATTTTTACTTTAAATTCACCATAGGGGTCAAATAGGTGTTGTAAAACGGCGTTTTTTCTACTATAGAAAACCCTGATTCCAAGAACACCTCTAAAATTTTACGCAATAGCTGATTGCTGGTGTCCTGAGAATGTGCAATAAGGTTTCATAATTTACATTTTCACCCTAGAGGTTCAAATGGGGGGTAAAAAAATGACGTTTTTTTCTACATAAAACCCCCTAGTTCCCAGAACTATAACCTTGGCAATACGTTTTAAATGTTTGAAGCTAGTGCTTTTATTATATACATGTGTATTCCCTGTGACAAGACCTTCCCAAGGATAGCAACAATTTTGACCCTTTGACCTTTACCTTTGAGTTTGATCTACTTTTGAAAACCGTATCATTGGCCATATCTTTTGAATGTTTCGTTAAAGAAATTTTATATTTCACATATGTATTTCTTGTGACAGGACCTCCTCTTGGGTACCAACAATTTTGACCCATTGACCTTGACCTTGGAGTTTGACCGACTTTTAAAAAAGTAAACTTTGTCCCTAACTTGAATAGTTGGTGCTAGGTTTTCATATTTCACAAGTGCATTTCTTGTGACAAGACCTTCCCTTGGTACAAAACCAATACATTTGACCTTTTGTCTTCTATCTTGGATTTTAACCTATTTTTGAAAACCATAACTTTTGAATGGATGGTGCTAAGGCTTTAATATTTCACGAGTGTATTTCTCGTGATAAGACCTTCTTTACGGCATATATAATTTTGACCCTTTGACCTACTTTTGAAAAAAATTAACCTTGGCCATAACTTTTGAACGCTTTGTACTAGGCTTTCATTTAAGTCCACAGCTTGTATTTCTTAAAAAATATACATTGACTATTGCTTCCAAACTTTTAAATTACAAAAAAAAATCTACAGTGCCTAGATATCAAACATCTGAAACATAATCCTTCAACGTCTTCTTGTTCTCCTTCACCCTACAACTATAGTCCTGTTGGACACGTCATTACTGGTGAAGTAAATATAAGTAATAAGGAAGACTTTAAATCATTAATTTCAAAAGGGACAGAATTTAGGGAATCCCGATCTTTCGACTGGGGTCATAATTTTATATATATCGTAAACTTTTCTATCGTCAACTTCCCTTACTTATGTAGCGATATACCCTTATCACCTGCATATGGGATTTATATCTCATAGTTGATTCGACACGCAAGAGTATACTCCACATATGAAAATTTCTACAACGAGGCAAACTATTGACAAACAAGTTGATGAAACAAAGATATCAACAATCTTGTTTACAGTCATCATTTCGCAAGTTCTTTGGTCGATACAATGACCTTGTCAGCAAATACAATCTATCATTAAGTCGAATGCTGACTGACGTTTTTCAAACTAATTTTTAGGCCATTATCTAAACACTGAATTATCTACGGTTTTTCCATTTGTCCTATCATGACAATGAGCACACGGCGGACGATGCTTACTCCTCCATGGCACCTGATCCCCGATTAAATGTTTGTAGAGGTCCGTGTTTGCTCTGCTCCGGATTTCCGGATTTGTATTGTTTCAACGGAGCTTGATTACTGTTCGTTATCTCCATGGTCCATATGAAATAGGTGTATTTCTTGTGACAAAACCTTTATTTGGGTACCAATATTTTTTATCTCTTGACCTTGACCTTTGAGTTTGACACTCATTTGAGAAACTTAAACTTTAACATCATACGGGGGCAGTGTTTCACAAACACATTTTCACAAAAGTCTTTCAAAAATTCTCTTTTAAACAGAATTTACATCATTAAATCCTGTACTTTCAGACTGGTAACGAATTTAGCATATGAAAAACTTAAATAAGAGATAAGAAGCCATTGAGCTACATGTTTATCTGAGCATTTTATGCTAGATTTGACAAATACATGTATATATTTTGTGTAAATTATAGAATTATTGTGGCTTCTTCCCTGGTTTCCCAATGTGGGAGAGTGCATTTAGAGGCAAATATCTAAGTGCGAGTATTACTGTCTTATGACTGCATCTAGTTTAAATTGAAGTTTTTTGAGTAAAAGATAAATAACTTTATCATTTATAACTATTAATTTATTAAGGATGCATAATAAATGAGATATATTAAATTTCCCTTCATATCATTGTCAGTGAGACTGCCATACAACACATGTCAGAGTCAGTGTTTGTGGGACTGTGCCGTGTAATAGGGACCTCACAAGAGGTGGCCGTGAGGAGAGATTTGGCGGATATCAGAGAGATGGTAATTAATCAGATAAGAAGTAGTGATGAGAATAATGTGATGGTGAGTGAAAGTCGCAGAAGAATGAGAAGAGATTCAGTGGACATTAGATTTATGGAGGATAATCAAGCAAGACCAAATTATGACATTAGTGAGTTGATAAGTGGGAGTCACAGAGAAGGATTCAGACTGAAAGAATCAGATATAGACACTATGGGCTGGCCAAATAATCACCGAGTGATCTGGGAATTATCTCAGTCTCAGTATTACAATACCAACAGAAAAATACTTATACTCTGTGAAAGTTCTAATAGTCCACCAGGATTTACTTTGGCATCTTTGCTGTCACCAAGCATGTACAGAGACATCCAGAGAGCTTGTGTTAGAATGAATGACAGATATTATATATCTAGTTCTAAATACGTACAGATCATGTGTTCTGTATCACCATCCAACTACACTCCACACGGACCCTGTGCCAGTAGAAGACGTGGAACAGTAGAAAATGATATAGCCCCTTGTTTTCTCAGTGACTTTTGGCCTCCATCTGCCTCCTCATGGATAGACAGATGTCGTTCATGGCCCAAGCCTCATATTGTTGATAATATAGTAAAAAATGGATGTCATATTGTAGCAGTTGGACATAAGTTAGGGAGTCATGAAGACCATGAATGGAGAATTTCCTTTTCTCTGGCAGAACAGAAACTTGTCTTTGCAATGAACCACTGTCAATTTTTGACTTATGGCTTGCTTAAGTTGTTCTTGACAGAAATAATTAACAATGGACTAGGTGATGGAGATAAATTACTGTGTTCTTATCACATGAAAACAGCAGTTTTCTGGGTGATTCAACAAAACACAATACCTCAGTGGTGTCCAAAAAATCTCCTGGAGGGTTTCTGGGTCTGTTTTAAACTCATCCTTAAATGGGTGTATGAAGGGATCTGTCCCAACTTTTTCATTCCAGCAAATAACATGTTTCTAAGTAAGGTTCATGGTGAAGCACAGCATCTGTTATTTATTAAACTTCATGAATTGTATGAGAAAGGGTTAGCATTCCTGCTTAACAGTCCCTCCATTAGGTCTTACATTATAAATGTCCTCCATAACCCCAAACTCCCCATCTGTACAGATGAACATACTCTGATTTCTGAGACTGAGTTTGATGTACACCTATTTACAGAAATACGTCGCTTTGACGTAATACCTACATTAAACACACAATACTATATGAAGTGTCTAAGTACAATAGAAAGATTAATATGTTCATCCCTCCTGACAAAGTATCAAGTCGTCATGCTACAGAAACTAACAGCTTCTGTTCTCCAGCACACTGCTTTCATATAACACATGGAGATTGACCCACACAAAAACAAAGTGAGGTATAGAGCAGACAAAATGTCCTGTCACATGCTGAAATTAGCTGCAAATTTTGGTTATGTTACTGACATGTTTTACCTAGCCATGTATTATTATAAGACATTAAGACACATGAAAGCTAAATCTGTTATAGAGAAAGTCAAGATCAAGTTAGCACAGCCATATGTAATGTATAACTTAAATGTAAATGCAGAGTTGTATACTGAGGCTGTAGGGGGACAGTCCTGGTCTAAAAAGATGAATCAGGCTGTAGCATGGAGTATCAGACTTGACAATAAAATCCAATACATTGACGAATTGATATCAGAACAACTCTCTAGTCTACAGAACAATGGGCTTATGTTAACTGTCCCGCCCTTGATACTGTTATACATGCTAGAGATCTTGTGCTACAGGCAAGTAGACACAGTGAGAACACAGACAGCTTTAAACGATCTATATACCCTAAATGACAATGATAATCATCGTAATCAGAGGCAGTTTATACCTTCACATCACAAAGACATATCGTGGCATATTCAGGGTATCTGTCAACAGGTGACAGGGAACTTCAGGACTGCCCTATACTCGTGCCTCCGATCTCTCAGGCAAGAACCATACCATAAAATACAAGCAGCAACAAATATGAGAATACAGGAAATTTGTCAACGAAATCGCTCAATTAGTTAAACAAATGTCAAATATTTGTAGAAGTTCACCTGATAGAATTTATGTTTAAATGTTTCTTCTCATTTCATATTTTCTTTGAAAAAGCTTTCTTTTTAATTGATATGTTACAACTGTAGTAAGAATACTCTAATTTGATTGGCTTATGAAGGAACAATAAAACTCCGTAAAGACTTCAGAATAAGATTATTGACCCACCAAATTCATCTGACAAAATCAGAACACACTAATGCATTAATAAAGAAGTTATTATTCAATAATTACCACTAAATAATGACCTGATAATCAATTTATTTCAAATGAAACTTTTGCATACAGAACATATTGAAGTATATTATAAAATGTGTGTTGTCTGTTTGCTATCGATGAAGAATACCGGTATAAAAGGTGCGCAGTTTTATAAATAATTGCTATACCTCTTTTTCAAATAAAGTAGAGGGGTGAGACAAGGAAGTCCTTAATCATTTTATCTTTCATTTTATGTGTTGAGCTACTTGTTATAGCCATAAGGGCAAATAAAAAATACACGTGGAATAAATATAGGGGAGATGATTGAATTTATGATAAGCCTGTTACTACATGACACTACATGCTTTCTAAGTGACGAAAAAATCAGGAAATGAAATATTAAAATTTATACAGAGTTTTAAATAATCATCTTGACCGAAAATTCATTTGAATAAAACTGAAGCAACGAAAATTTCAAATTTCAAACAAGGAATCTTGCCAGTGAAATGGTCCAAAGGTCAATTTTTACTCTTGTTATTTGGTTCAGTCCAAGCGGTGAACAAAATACCCTTGCTAAAACTTAAATAAAAAATTAGATGAACTGAAAGTAACTTCGAAATTATGGAAAATGAGGAATTTAACATTTATTGGCAAAATTCCAATTGTAAAAACTCTAGCAATACCAAAAATTTTATATCAAGCACGAGTACTTCCCATTCTCTAAAGAGGAATTCTCTAAAGAACTGAATAAGTTTAAAGTTAAAAGTTCAGTATCCTGCAAAAGAAAATCAATAAGGTGGATTGAAGTCCCCAATTATGAAGCACAAATGATATCATTACTTGGTTGGATTAAACAAATACTGAGTATTAATTAATACAAAGCAAGATGGAAGAGTATTATTCAATATTACCTTAATGATATAGAATTAAATGATTTTATAATTACCAGAAGTTGTCTATATTGTTTACATGCATGTCTATCACTACCACAATTTTACAGATACATCTTTGATACATGAACACAAATATGATGATATAAATATTGAACCAAAATTTGTTAAAGAAACTCTTTGATTTAATGATAACGTTAAAATAAATAATGAGACATTGTTCTGGGAAAAGTGGTACAAACAAGGTATATTATATACTGGAGATATTGAAGAATTAAGTAAATTGTTTGACTTGAATATACCTTTCTTTGATTAATTTTGTTTAAGAAATGCACTTCCATATCATTGGCGAAAATATATGTCAAAATAAAAAATGTTTCTTTTAACAGAAATTCTTTGAACTTGAGTTTCAGTATAATAAAACAAGTCCATGCTATTGTCAAAAATATTTAAGTACCAATTTTTCTCGAACAGACTTGGAAAACATTTTCATGCTACCTTTTGTATGTTCTAATGAAACATCACTGCAGTCTTTTCAGTATAAACTAATTTATAGATTTTTATCTCATGATAAACTACTGTGCAAAATGAAAATAAAAACTTCACCCCTATGCATTTTATGTGCAAAAGAAAGTACTATAGAACATGTGTTTTAATATTGTAATTGTGATAAAACATTGTGGAACTACTTTCTAACGTGGAGGAAAACATTTTTCACATTGATAAGCTATTCTGTCAAAACATAGTATCTTGACTGTATTAGAGAAAATGTGACAGTTTGAACTACTGTATTTTGTTTTGTAAGTGCTATATACATTCAGTGTTTATATCCAATATGGATGAGATTTACATGATTTAGAATGAATCAATTTTTCATACCTTTTCAAGTCTTCTGAAAAAGAAACTACAACTTCAAAATAGTGTATTGCTATAATAGTAACTTAATTAGATATTTTTAATGAAACTTGGTAACTAATACTAGATGCACTATTATTTTATCAAAGAACTTATTGTATTATTTTACTATCTAATTAAATCAATTGCTATAATCAAAAGGTAATAATCTTTTAATAAATTAGTTTTTAAAAAAAATAATGAACATATAATTTGTATTTATAGATGCATGTTCTACACCTTTTATGATTTGTGAGATATTCAACCTTGTATGATGCAGATTGACATCATTGTATATAGAAAACATTTTACACGTTTATTATTATTTTATTATATTGCATTTGAAAAAAAAAGCCAATTAAAATAACAATAATAGATGCGCCATAACATTTATTATTGTTTATTTAGTACTAATTGAAAAATTCGATATATACCTAATAAAATTCAAACAAAGCAGACTTGGCCTTTTTTCAAGAAAAAAAGAATTGAGGCAAATTTTTATTTAATTTTTTAGTAATACATGTTCAGTACAAATTGTGAATGTGAATAATCACAATTTACATGACTGGCAGTATTATCAATGGATCAGCTGTGAAAAAACTTGCATGTTTCACAGCTGTTCCATTGATAATACTACTGGCTTCGCTAGCTACACTTTCTTCATATTCTGGAATCGCCCCCTTGTTCGTCTGTTTAATATCCTTATATTCTATTTAAGTTTGATTATATTTGGGTTGGAGAAATTAGGTGTTCATATATTGTATTATAATTGTAGGACTGATAATAAATTTGTAAAGTCTTGTTAGTCCCCTACCGGTCAAACCGGAGGGGACTATAGGTTTCCTCTGCGTCTGTCCGTCCGTCCGTCCGTCTGTCTAGCTGTCCGTCCGTCTGTCCCTCTCTCCGTCTGTCTCACTTGGTTTTCCGCACTTTTTTCCTAAATGCTTGCAGATATTGAGCTGATTTTTGGTATGTGACTTTACCTTGATGTGTTAAAGATCAAGTTTGCATTTCGTTTCTGCTTCATTGATTTTTGACGGAATTATGGCATTTTCAATTTCTAACGGGACCCAGATTACACTTGCCGGTAGGGGACTAGTATTGCTAATGCAATACTATCAGAATGCTTGTTGATTTTTAACAGAATTATGACCTTTTCAATTTTTAAGGGTTTTCCGCAATTTTTTTTCTAAACACTTGCACATATTGAGCTGATTTTTGGTATGTGACTTTACCTTGATGAGTTATAGATCAAGTTTGCATTTCGTTCCGATTCATTGATTTTTAACGGAATTATGGAACTTTCAATTTTTAACGGGAACCAAATTACACTTGCCGGTAGGGGACTAGCATTGCTAATGCAATACTCTCAGAATGCTTGTTGATTTTTGACAGAATTATGACCTTTTCAATTTTTAAGGGTTTGCCGCAATTTTTTTCTAAAGACTTGCACATATTGAGCTGATATTTGGTACGTGACTTTACCTTGATTAATTATAGATCAAGTTTGCATTTCGTTCCGCTTCATTGATTTTAGACCGAATTATGGAATTTTTCATTTTTAACATGAACCAGATTACACTTGCCGGTAGGGGACTAGTATTGCTAATGCAATACTCTTAGAATGCTTGTTAGTCCCCTACCGCTGAAACCGAAGAGGACTATAGGTTTCCTCTGAGTCTGTCCGTCCTTCTAGCTGTCCCTCTGTCTGTCCGTCAGTCTTTCCCACTTGTTTTCCGCAGTTTTTTCCTAAACGCTTACAGATATTGAGCTGATTTTTGGTATGTGAGTGTATCTTGAGTGTATCTTGATGAGTTACAGATCACATTTACATTTCTTTCCGCTTCGGAATAAGGTCCTTTTCAATTTTTCAAGGTTTTCCGTATTTTTTTCTAAACGCTTGTTGATATTGAGCTGATTTTTGGTATTTGACTTGACCTTGATGAGTTATAGATTGTTTGCATTTCGTTCTGTTTCATTGATTTTTGACGGATTTATGGAATTTTCAATTCTTATCGGGAAACAGATTACACTTGCCGGTAGGGGACTAGTATTGCTAATGCAATAATCTCAGAATGCTTGTTAATCTTATTTTCATTTCTAGTTCATTTCAATTTACAAATATTTCCAAGGTATATTCTAATGTAGAGGACATATTGGTCCCCTACCGGTGAAACCGGAGGGAACTATAGGTTTCTTCTGCGTCTGTCCGTCCGTCTGTCTATCTGTGCCTCTGTCTGTCTGTCCCACCTGGTTTTCCGCACTTTTTTCCTAAACGCATGCAGATATTGAGCTGATTTTTGGTGTGAGTGTA